CCCTCCGCCCCCCCCCCCCCACCCGCCCCCCCCCGCCGCGGGACCAGCTCCCACAGGAAACACACACCACAAAACGACCGCACGGCCTCCCAAAAACGACAAAGACATACCTCGCGTCCTTCCCGCACCCGCCACCCCCATCCACATCACATCTACACAATCCCCATCTCCCCAGAATACACATCAAAAATCAACCCATCAACTATCCATAAGTAGGTAATCAACCAAAAAACCCAAAATCACTGACCCTCGTCCGTTCCTCCCCGCCCATCAAAGCTTAATTAAACAAGACTCACTCACCAATCTTTTTCCGCCCCAATCAAAGCGAATTTTTTTTAAACTATCAGCTATATCCGCGCTTTGATATTGGATCTAAGCTTACTCTGACTTTTACTCTTAATTCTCAACCCTAATTCTATCTTGAGGACTTTGACGTCATATACTATGTATATGTTACTACGTGTGAGTATGTGAGTAGATCCGCGGGGATTGTCGTCGGGTTTGTACGTATTGTGTGTACATCGTATGTATGTATAATTAGATTTGTGGATTATAGGCACGTGATGTGATGTGATTTGATCGAATCTGATGGACAAATCTACTCCGTCGGCACGTGATTTTATTAAATTGATGGACAAATCTACTCCGGATTAAGATTGGTCAGCAACTAAATTAAATAAAGCGGAGATTTTAGGTTTTCTGAATAAATAAGTAAAAAAAATTTGTAAGAATAATATTGTAGAAATTTTATACTGATTATTTATTTTTTAATTAATTTTTTTTTATGAATTTTATAACTCTGAATCACTCTATTTCGGAAGAATTATAAAATTACCTAATTAATCACTTGATGAATCTATTGATGTCAACTCAATGTCAGTTGACTTGTTTAGTATTATCTCATCCTTAGTCGGTGATCCTCTTTAGTTGGTAATACTTTTAAAAGGGATAATAGGATGAACGGAATCAGTCCGTATACAGTGGTAAGGAGATGGATTGATGAAATAGGTATATATCATATACATTGTACATGGAAATACTCCACCAATCTCGCATTCACATCGCTTCCTGCAGATAGTCCTATACTACAATGCTTTGCAGATGTACGGTAAATAATTGTCCCTTCTCCAATGCTTAACTCATCATATATCTCAAAACAAACTCGGATGTCTTCCATTTACATAGAGTCCGAAACTCCGCTGCGGAATTAGGATCCGGTGATGAAGCAACCTTCTCTCGCATTCACAATTCCACTCTAACCTACTTTACCATCTCATCCCCATGTCCATCCATCCCCATCTATCCATCATCCATCGGATTCGTATGAGCATGTACCAGGGCCATACCGAGGTAATGTGAGATGTGCTGGCTGTTCCCAGAACGTCGGGTCCTGACTACCCAAAAAAAGTCATCTACCGGCATATCCCAACCCCAAACCAAGCATTTGATAGACAACGCAAGGAAGTTGGTCATCATACAGTACCTAGGTACCTACTCACAGTTTGTTCATTACTATCAAGGATACCTGTATTTTTTTTAAGGCATAAGTTCGGGTAAATCGAATACCGCTAATTTAATATCTCATCTGATAACTCTTTTTCCTCGACTAACTACCTAACTAGCTTCTTTCCCTAAAACCAATATTCATAATATCTTGAAACAGACCGCATATCTTCCAAATGATCCAATATCCTTCCAGACTCGCAGATTTCAATCTTTCAGTCCGAGTTTGTGGCAGATACAGTGGTAGAAACGATAGTATGTCGTACCATCGTATACAGGACGCGTGAGCTATCGAAGCACGAACCATACCAGAAACCATAACCATGAAAATGCGTAATCATTATATTTCTCTCCGTCCTCAGACCTGTAAATATCATTTCTAATTATATTCGAAGGGAGACTTTTGTCCCGTGTACCGCTGTGTACCACCACACTATTGGAATTAGGTTGAGGCTCAAGCTTGTTGACGGCTTGGGGTGTGAGGTAATTTTTAAGCTTAGTAGGGATGCGATGCAGGAGCTTCTCCCAGATTTCCTTTTTCGGATACCGGATACAATTTTTCCGCCATCTGCTAACTTTTTATCCCGTCGCTCGACACGTGTATACAAATTACAGTCTTTTCTTAGATTTTCCTTTTCATGTTCTTTCTCTTCACAACTATGTATTTATTTCGACCGAAAAATTAAGCGGGCCGAAGAATGAAGGGGGCCAAACATATTCAAATCTTCCACGCAAGCCTCTCCACTCTCCCCATCAAAAGGCGTTTTCTTAAGCTTCTTGGCACTTTAACCTTCGTATCATGAGTGGGTGTGTCCAAGTCGTCAAAGTTTAAGCATGTTTTTAGTTAAGAAGATAGAGTGTAACATTGTAGATCTTGGTCGGCTCTGGAGAGGACAAATGGACCAATTACATGACTCGAAAAAAGGAGGGAGTGGTAAGCGACGGGGAATGCCGAGTGCAAATGTCGCTGGTCCTAGGCTGCTTTCAGCCATTGTTCGCTTTTGACGACGATGATATGTAATATAAGGGACCAGGGTAGAGGAGAGTAAATAAAAGACGGGTAGATCGATAACGTGAGGTAGGTTGCGTATGTAATATGTATACATCAGTGAGCCAAGTGAGAAAAAAACTTACACATCAAAGATCTAGAATCTCATCACCCCATATCTCATACGCTTTCAAGCAGCACCAAGGCAGCCCAAGAAGCACCTCTGGCACAGCATGATGCGAAAAACATCAGCAAATCACAAACTTGACCATCACACTTTCTACACAGCCTCTGCCAATTCACCATACGTAAACTTTCTTTCATCCTTATCGTTTCGCCAAGCATATTTTACTGCCTTCCGTATTCTCCTTATTCAATGATTCTCAATGAATTCATTCACGAGAAGAATTTCACGAAAAAGCCAAGGTTTGCCAAGTAACGCTGTGGCACATGAGAGAATTTTAAGGTTAATTTTACTCGAATGAAGGGGAGGGGCTAAACTCTAACTTTAAACTTATTTTATTTATTTAATTATTTTGATTATTTTTTATTTATTCTTTTATTCATTCATTTATTCATTTATTCCATGATTTTCGATCCAAGGAATACGAAAATGCGAACGAACCAAGCACTTGGGAAATTCTAATAAAATGTTTTTCCTCCGAAGATGCCGCGCCGCATCATTCATACTTTTTGATATCAAGGAAATGGGAGCTGGGAAAATCCTTCCAAATGATTAGTAACACGGTGAGTCGTACACTTTTTGCAGGTACGTACATATGTAGTTAAGGTATTACTGCAATTATTACGAATGCAAAGTACACGAAGTAATCAAAACACTCAGTAATCAATCCGATTCCGATTTCCGATTCCCCGGCCGCACAACGCTATCACTCTGTTTTAGTCGATACAACCTTAGCACTTGGAACTGGAAAGATAACGCGGTAGACGTCAAAACCTTATGCTTACTCTTGATTTCTTAATTTTGATTTGGTGTAATGAGCTTCGGGTAGATGCTTGAGTGTATATTTGTGAGATCTTATGTAGGATACTTTGGATGGGGAGATACAGTTCCGGTGAGGAGAAATGGATGGTTGGTTGGTTGGTTGCGGGACGAATAGGGCTGTGAGATTGATGGCTGATGGATGATGGATGTCCATATCCGTTGGCTGTTCTTTTGTCAAGAGAGCTGGAGTGATAAGATTACACTGGATGGCGTTAGGGTTTGTGTATCTCAATTGAGTAATGATAGCAATTCAGCCGCCAATATAAACGCAATGACGACGAGATTCGTATACCTATTAACTTTATTATTGTGGGCTGCGGTACATGTACTTTGTACTGTATTTGGATATTGGTTTAGCCAATAGCCTTTACTCTTTGAGCTCGCTTGATCATTCATCACTCAGTTCATCTTAACCGGGTCATTTTTTCTATCACCACCAGCAATCAATCAATCAATCAATCAATCAATCAATCAATCAATCATACTAACATCTCAAAACCTCACTCGGCCTCATAAAGCAGTCCATAGTCCGCAAGCCCGTCTTTGAAAGCATGTGTCATGGGCTAGTCAGCAATCCCTTACTCTCCAGTCAGCAATCCCGTCATCAATCCAAAGCATCCATCTATCAAAAGCATCACTCATCCAACGCGCATACCCTAAATCCGAGATGCTTACTCGCAAAATCCCAAGATTGGGGTCGTCGGTGGAGACAGATGTCAGCATACATGTACATACTCCGTACATACACTATGCCTGACGTCTCTTCACGACCTTTTCCCACCGAGCCCACGAATCACAATGTTCATACATACCCCAGCTCACCGAGCGCTATAGATACTTCGGGATAAGCATCGCATATTGTGTTGCTTGGCGTCAGCATAGTATACCGTGACACTACACTACAGCCTTGTTTGTTTGTTTGTTTGAGAAATCTTAACACGACTGTCTGGCGGAGTAATATATAGCCAAAATTCACGATCTGACATCTTCGCGCAATCCATCTTATCTTGCGCCACTGTCTATTGGTGAGGAAAGAAAGGTTATTTAGACGAGGAGTGAAATGCTTGTTTGCTTATGAATCTTCAGTACATATGCTTACTGCTTGATTCCTTGTAGTGTGAATGTATGTATGTACTCCGTATAGGTATTGTGTATAGAATCTACTATAGACAGATATGATATAACTGGATCGCATATAACCATCTCTAGTAGGGTAGGTATTTAAGGTTAATCCAGTATTTGCCCTCATCTCATCCTCTCTTACCAATAATGAAAATCATCAGCCAAATAAACCTTATCCCTCCTCCGCTCAAACCTAACCTCAATTATTATACCTAGGTAGGTACTTGAAGTAAAACGCCAATACCTACTTTGACTAGAAAGCCAAAAACCAAAAACGATATAAACAAACCCTATCATCAAACAAGCATCTCCCTCCCTACCTAGTACATACTGTACTCCAAACCGCATAAAAGAGGCATGACATCGCACATCGCACATCACATCGCATCGCATATCACACATGGCATAGCATAGGATAGCAGCGATCATCGATGATCGATGATCCAAAAGCAAAGAAGCAAAGAAGAAGAAAAGAAGAAGAACAGAAAAAAGAAAGAAAAATAACCTTAAAATTAAACCTAAAAATCTTCCCTTTTCCCTGTTATCTTGGCATCTGTATTACATACGGAGTATTCTTACGGAGTACGCATCCTTACATGTATGTAATTCTTATTCTATCATGTTCCACTTTACCTTACCTTACTTACCTTAGATACTTGGTACTTACCTCTCTAAATAATACAAATTCACATGACAAACTAGGTAGTGTTACAATTTTTCATTCCTATCCTAACAATAATATTGACTACAATTTTCCCTCTTTGTCAAAAAAAAAGATTGGTAAAGTGGCTGGCTCACTTACTCCGTCCAAAGTTCTACTCTAATTTATTCAAGTAAATATCCAAATAAATCCAATACATTAGTAGATACAGCAAGTAAAAAACTCACACTAGTACTCCAGACCATGCATCTATCCATCCATGATCTAGTATCTACATAATCATTATAACCTCCTTCCTTATTAACCTTATAATCTCATAATATCTATATCTATATCCAAACCCCTCTCCCTAACCTATCCCAATCTAACCCAATCTAACCTAATCCAATCCAACACTACATACTATACACCATACACACGATCCCATCACCCACAAACTTCAAACAAACCATCCATCCATCCCATCCCCCTAAAAAATGACGCCTTGCCCTGCCTTTGCCTTGCTAAGCCTTAAGAATTAAGAAAATACACACACACCAAAAAAAAGATAAGAGAAAGGAAAGATAAAATAAAATCTAAATCTTAATCTGTGATCCCGGTAGGCCGCGTCATCTATCTTCAGATCTTAGGCTCTTGAGCTTCCTCCTTTGGCTTTTTGGAAATGATTGATTCGTGGGTGTGTCACGAGGGTGGTGGAGTTTGAAGTTGATGGATGTGGATGATGGATGTGGATGATGGATGATGGATGATGGATGCTGGAAGGTTGTGATATCTTTGTATGTACCTAGTAGAGGTTAGAGGTAGATAGGTAGGTAGGTAAGTAAATAGGTAGGGATTTGAGATGGGAGGGAAGAGGGGGGGAGGGTAGGGGAGGGGTTAGATTGAATTGGATTGATGATTGTGGGGTTCCAGAGTGGATGAGAGGTTATTCTGGGGGGCAGGCGAGAAGAGGAGAAGAAGAGATAGGGAAAATATTTATTAAGGGGAGAATATTACCCAAACAGAGTGAAAGAAATAGATAGCACTGCGGATAACGAATGAAAGGATCCAGATTCGTGTATTAAGCCACAGATGGTGATGAATGAGGCGCGTAATAACGCGCGGCTTAATATTAATATGCTACAAGTACTCTCAGGAGTCAGGAGGAGGAAGAACTCTAGGAATCAGTCCTTTCTCCGAGATTTTAGATTCGTCACATCCATCACATGTAGATGGATGCGAATTCAAATGCTAAAAGGGAATAGCTAGTGCAAAGAATTCTATTATAGAAAGTATTTGATTTACCATGTGCTCATTGCATTACATCTCAATTACCAAGCAAGGGGGTGATTTAGATAGATTCATGGACTTTGTTTTATTCATCTACTCGTCCCGTCCCGCGCCGGTTCAGTTTCCCTTTCTTCTCAGTATCTTTCGATTCACATCCACGGAATACAATCAACTAACTCAGACTATTACCGTGCATTAGAGTGTCGGCTGAACCACTTCTCACTATTCACTGTTTACTCAAGCTTTGTTTTCGTCAAATCGGGGATAATGATGGACCATCAGATTGAGCGCTACTATTTGCTAATTCCATGGGTGTAGGTAATGAACTGCTGCGTGTGATATTCAAGGCAACATGGGTGCATGGAGGTGATGAGCTGCGGAATGTCTTTCGCGTATGGTATTGGATACTTCCATATAGACTATCTGAACTACTTTGTGCCAAATGATAGCTTGGAGCTCAGATATCTGAACCGTCCCGCCATGGTGAAATCAAAATTGACATCTATCTTCCACGTCGACACGTCACAGTCCGGACATCAGTGACGTAAGACGACGTGCTTGAAACAATTTCACAATTTCACTGTTCCCTTCTTAGCAAGTGGAAAACCTTAATCGCACGTTCGAAACTCGAGCGTAGCTATCAAGTGGCATTTTCACCGGAAGAATACCCGCGCGCATTTTCCCGCGATTTTTTAGTTGTATTGATCATAAAACATATAGTCTAACCGCAATGTATTTTTAGAGCAATGCTTGTTATGTCTAGATGGTAATGATGGGTCTGTGGGTTGAGGCTGAAAACGAGAGGCCGATAATTGATTTTTGTGGATCATGGTGGTTGCCTAACGTCGATGTATTGGCCAAATATATCTCGAGTCGGTGTGATTTCGTCGATGAAGAAGTTGAGGTGGACGATCATTATCGAGATGATAAAAGCTTGCTGGGTATGGCACCCACAACTTCCTTTTCGTAGGAAGAGATTGTAATTATACCATGGTTTTTTGCATCCCCTTCGTTCGAATTTCCCTGTCTTCCAAATGGGAGGAAGGATTCACCACCTCTTGACGGGGCCTCTGCTGCAAACTCTGGAGATCTTGCTGCATATCTTATCTTTCACTTCCCTCACTGCCTAGACCTGACTGGAAAGTAACGCCATCTGACCTGTGTCTGGAACAATGGCCACCACTTGTCCCACCAAAAGATTATTGATCAATGGCTGCGATCCCTCGAGCATTCAAACTAGTGTTAAATCCTCAGATTCAATGTCTTGGAACCATTCCCATTCAGTAGGAGCAATCACGCCTACTCGAATATATTCTTTGCTACCTGCTTCGAATACCTGAAGAACCAAACCCACATTCGTCCGGCCCAAGCTCAGAAGGTAAAGGTTTACTAGTGGTTGAGGTAAATAATCAAAAATAATTCGTAATGATTCGCCATCAATTGAATAATCGCCAGCTTTAGATCGTCGCAGGTGAAGCAGTTGTCCGCGAAGATATATCCTCCCTGAGATCAAAGTTCCACGAGGATCTCTTCCCTCCGGAACAATACTAACATGTAAGATTTCCGGATCGCTAAATCGCGAATCTACGGGTACATGAACGAATTGTCCTCGTTCACTTCTCGATTCGAAAACTCGGTCTTCTCGAATGAGTCCATATGTTATGGAAACATCCATTTTAGCCCATGACCATGAAGGCCCATAATGAATCGCACTTTGCTTTCTAGCGCCGTTCGATGACCATTTCCAACACAAGCCTCTCAGAAGATCCTTTCGCCATAGCCCTGCTGCATATTCATCATTCAAAAGATATGCAAATTCAAGGGCGAGACCAGAGAGTGCCGGGAACTTGTCTGTGCGATGCGTCAGTTGACGGCTGTTATAATCCTGCACCATCCTTCGCCATAGTTCATAATACTTTTCAGTTACCAAATCATGGTGTGGTGCAGTAACGCTACCACTGTGGATTTTGTCGAGACATCGTACACTCGAGTTCAAGAAATATCGTGATAGACTAGATTTCAAAACCCATTGATTACTATTCAATTCATGATTATGATCGGATATACGAGCCTCTCGGCACTCGAAGAGCAAAGTGTGTTTAGTGAAATGTAAGATTCTGGGTGAAAGTTCTCGTTCCTGTAGGGTCCAACTTCTTCGAATTAATGTACTTTTATTAAAAAGACTATCCCATCCGGGAAAAGAGATTTTGAAAAGAATCGCAGGTGCGTTAGGAGTTACAGGAAGCAACGGTAACTCGCAATGTAATGCAAAAAGTCCTTCTTCACAGTTGCTTGCTGCGGCTGCTGAGATCGTGCAGTAAGCATGAGAGTAAATTTTTCCCATCTTAGCCGATTCTTGTTGCCAATCTTGCGAAGAATCTTGAATAATGCATAAGGAGTCTATCCATAAATATTGTAGTCCAAGTCGCCTAGTAAAAGTGATTGCATCGCGAAATGTTCTAGGCAACGTCTTGAATGGGATGGAGACTAAGCGTCGCTGGAGTGTTTTGTTCTTCGTTGTTGCAGCCGCTGACATTTTGTTTCCCCAGCAATGTGTCAGCGCAAGATATTTTGAAAAAGCATCATTACTCTGCTCTGTCTCCACTAGCCGAGGTGATATGCCGTACTTTCGAACGTCTATGAGCCGACGAGGTCGAAATCCTGCATCGTAATTTATATTACAGTACACATGTTCATGTCTACAGGTACTAATCCATGATGACACGAGAGAGGTAATGTTCTGATTTCTTGGGTATAAAACGCTGGAGTATAAATCTTCTGGAATGTGTGAGATGGGAACGTGGAGAGTCCATTGTACAGGGAAAGATTGGCTGGTGTCAAGAAAAGATCCTCATACCCGTAGTTTCCACGTCGAACAGACAAGAGTATCCATCCCGTCCCACTTGGTAGGAAATAGAATTTCGATGAGGGCTTGACACCACAAGCTGTCGATTGACTTTTAAATAAGTTTTGTGGCCTTCGTTCCGGTGAGGAACGGAGGCGATGGCCTCATGAAAAAGAGCACAGATGTGACAGCCGTTTGTTGCGGATGTCTCTAGACCCTTCACTGAAAGATGATGTACATGTGAAAATTCTCGAATATCTTTATTGAGAAAGGTTTCTGTGGGTATCGCGAGGCACATGTCACAAATTCCCATGTCGCGTTGTTGCACCTTGCAAGGCCACTTTGGGATTCTTTGGGTGTAATGTTGTTGCACGCATGTGTGCATATGGGATAGATCTTTGAATCAATAATGATAAGTGGGGTAAATTCACACGTGATATTATTGTGAGCTTCACCTACCATGTGAAATGGATGCTTGATATTGAAGTAGTAGGATGAGCCATGGATTTTGTCCATGAATATTGATGACACATATAGGCAGTTGCAAAGATATGGTAGTGAAAATCACTCAATGGGAGTACTTGGTAATGGGGGCTACAAAATATCCATTGTCCGCCCGGTTGAGGTGCGAATTTGACGTTCTGGCATAAGGAAGGTGCATTGGCGCCGCTCTCAATTATCATACGAAGCTCTTTCCATATCTAATATTAGTTGACAAGCTAGTACTCGGGGTTGCCGAATGGAATAGATGCATTTCAAGACACGTTTTCGAACTTCAAAATTCGTATTAGCGGACTCGATACCTAGAAATATCATAAACCTATAATCATTTGTCTTTTTACGCCCCTTCCTATATTCCTATAATATCATCAAAAATGAGCTGGCAAGATGATTCTTCTTATTCGCGGCATGAGTTTTCCAGTAGGGCCACTACACCCTCGAGCTCATCCTTCACCTCTAATTTCTTCCGACGCGCCCGCCGAGCTTCTCTGACAAGGAATAACAGAAAGTCCGTATCTTTCGCAGACCCTTTAGAAGCAGAGAGATCCAAAGACAGTATCTCGGAGAATGGTCAAGTATTATTTATGGCAGATTCGAAACGACCACCACGTCCTCAACGGCCGGAACTACAGCGTCGATCTTTGTCAACTATGAGTAATAGCTCTCTCGGAACTCTTGGTGAAAATTGGGACAGTGAAATTAATTCCGATATAGACAGCGAGGCTGAGGAGGTATCTTGGGATATCATCAACAAAGAAATACAAGAATGGCAATATGTTTGTCGTACTGGTAGGCCATTCTGGTGGTCACCAGAGTTCAAAAGTAGTCGTATGTCCACTTTATCTCCGAAGAACCTTAGAGAAGTCAGCACGCGTGCTTGGCTGAGAGGAGTCACAGATGACTCAAGACCACACCTGAAGAAACGTTATCCTACTATGGACGATAGCAATTTTGGAAATTCTAGCGACGTACAGGAACTTGCAAAAGTGATTGCCGTCCAGCTTCTCGGATCTTGTTTTACTTTAGCACCGGAGTACCTTCTACCTCTTCCATCAAGCCCCACATCATACAACAGAAAAGGAGACACAAAACTACCGGATTCAAGAATGATCAGTTCCTTACGCATGCACACACAATTTCGATATTCACCCTGCTTTGGGCACCAAGCACGAAATGCCTCTCCGATACAACCATGGGACTGTGGTGGATACGACGGTTCATCGACTTACTCGTCCTCACCTCCAGGTACCAGTGGTGTTGTTACGCCGCAGATTATCACGTCAGAACCAACCGGAAAGCGAAGTAGATTAAAGAAAGCTCAGAGAGCGCTGAATGTCTCAGAGCAATCGGCAAATGATAGCAATGTTGGTAGTCATAGAAGTGATTACTTTATGAGCGGTAGTTCCACGTTTGATGACAAAGCTGCAACCTCGATGGGTCAGAAACTGAGGAACGGCCATGCTATCGAATGTGGGAAGGCTTCAAATACACTACATGTATCGGGAGCGGATAGCCGAAGACACAAATCGAGGCCTCCAACGACCAGAGATCAACCAGAAGCGATACCAGCAGCAGCTGCCGATGATGCGAATGTTGACACGTTGAAAAGTTATCGAGGATTACGTCCTACTCTTCCACCGAGGACCAACTATCGTCTACAGCCAGTCCTCAGGTCAGAACCGCATCCTGTATTCGTGCAGCCTGTGAGAGAGCTCGTAGTAAAGAGGTGGAAGTCTATTCGACGTCAATTTGGAGGTAGTTTGCAAAATTCTTTGCCGACAATGGCATCTGAAAATGTCGAGTCCGACTCAGAAAGTGATGCAGCGAGTTCCGCACTTAGCACTGATGCAAGGGCACGGAGACGGCGAGCTCAGGAGAGGGGAGACATTCATAGCGCCGGTGGTGATGATAGCCTACGCTATAACACTCCAAGAAGTGGTACTATGACACCTATGACGCCTATTTCACCTTTCATGATTCCAACCACGCCCCTCGCGACTCCTATGACCCCTTCGTTACCAGGTTTAAGGCCCATGTCTCCTTTCTTTAGAGGAGGGGATACCGTGACAGTTGTCACATCTTTTCTAGCTGATGCATGTCAAGCGGAACACATTATCACTCCGCCGGATTCGTTTAAGGAAACGGGTGGCTATGTTTCGCCAAACATGATAAGAACCGAGCACGACGCGGGTGCAATGTTCATTCAATCGAGGTTAAATTCTCAACCGCCCCTTGAGCCAATAGTGGGTTCATATCGCGTGAGACGAACAAGTATGTTATCAGAGATGTGCGTTCCAGAAGACTTTAATGACGACGGAACCTTGAAGATTGATGATGAGGAAAAGCATTATCAAGGACCTCATTTGGCAAGGGCAAATTCAAGCGGAACTCAGATATTTAGACCCAATAGTGACGGCATCGAACTCGACGGAATGCCGGTTGGCCCTGGAAAGGAGTTCTGGGACGGACCAGTCGACAATTCAGGGAAACGGAGGGAAAGGACCTATCTGTAAGGCTAGAAAAGGATGGGTGATTCCTGCATTGTAATCAATAGCCAATTGGAGAAAAAAATTGTTGGTCGAAAGGAAAAGTACAAAATAGGAATAATAAATTATTGAACCTGCCTGGGTATCGCTATATTCTCTTGTTACAATATAATGTCTGTACTGCCGCTGTATCGATAATAGTACAAATGTAGATAATGCCAAATCCCACAACGCCTTCAGATCTTTAATTCCTGTCTATACTCCTAGGTCCGAATCCAAATCAAAAACCGATAGTATCCTCTATTCTTCAACCAGGGTTGGTATTCTCATCTGCCGTCATTCCCATCCCAACCATCTCATAATCACCTGCGCCATCTCTTCCCCTGCCTCTCCCTTTCCCTCTTCCATAGCCTTGTTCTACATCCCCAGTATCCTGCGCGCCTTCTCCTTCCATGCCTGTGCTAATATCTCTTGCCATACCAGTATTGTCTGTAACAGTATTCGAAATATTCTGGGTAGTATTTGAACTGGAACCAAAGTTTATAGGCCGCAGTTCCCTCCACTGACAACTCCATACGCCTAGAAAGGTCATAAGGGACGCGGATGAAAATTGTAGGGCCCACCAGAGCCAGTTGCGAGGGATAGAGTGCGAGTAGAAGGATGTAATTAGGAGATGCAGGAAATGGATGGTAAGCGCGAAATCGGGGATTAATTTGGAGCGTGAAACAAGGAGGAGAAGAGAGATAACTCTGTTGATTTGTGTTAGTTTCATGAAGGAGGAATTAATGCAAGATAAGAACAAACCCAATGAAACTATTCAACATCCAAACAAATCCTAACATCCACCCCACCGTTGTATCACCCCTCAAACTTCTCCAGCTTAAAACCATGTCGAGAGAAAAGGGTCTCCCAGCAACCAGTGCTGTAAAGAGAATCAGCGCCGTACCGATGACATACCAAAGAACTTGAAGGATTAGAATCTGGCTGAAGATCTTCAGAGGTGGCAGCTCAGCAATAGCGCCAGCGCGTGGTGGTCTTCTTCGTCGTGCCATGTGTGTAAGATGAAGAAATTAGGTATGCGCACTTGCTACCTTAATGGGAAAAGATATTTGAGCATTTCTATATTGATATTGAACCATGTGTTCTCGAGGCTGAGCTCTAACATCTGATGCCAGTATATTGAAGGCGGTAGATCTCTTTGGATTAGTGTCTTTTATTCTGCCTATATTGCTTACTAAGAATTTTAATTTAAAATGTCTTTCCGAGGAACATGATCATGCATCGCCCTTGAAAAAACCTACTAGGTCTTTGAAACTGTCCATCTAAAATGACAACCTCCTTCTCCGCATGCTAATGAGACCTTCAGTGGATATATTCTACTATAAATATCATAAATATATGTTAGGTTTGGAGCTATAAACAATACTTACTAGGTACCTACGTAGTTTGCCTGACTCAGCACACGGATCTACCGGTGCGACCATGTCGCGTTCCTTGTCATGCTAACCTTTTCTATCGTCCCATTTGCCTCCATAGATTCTTAACAAGTTTACCAATTATAGTACAACTGTGATCTCGAGGCCATCAAATATCCTTATCACGTAAGGAATCATGGTCTTCAACAGGCTCTTCAACTCCTTACGCCCAAAAGCGTCCCGTAACAGATTGAGGAGCGAGACAGATGATGGGGAGTCGGCTTACTTGAAAGCAGACTCAGACGCAGGGAGTACCGTTAATACATTAAGATCTCGGGCTTCTCGAAACAAACTGAGGAAAGAGCCGCCCCCTCGTCCGAAGACCGCAAATGCGAAAGGAACAGGGACCTTACAAGATTATCGTCCCAATCGCCGTTCATTCGATCATGCAGTCGATGAACAAACTGGGGAGCGAATCGATCATACCGCTTTACTGCATGGTTTAGCACACATGGGATCTTTTGATTCTATGCATGAAGCTTACGGCATAGACAATCCAGATCGACCCTCTGGGGAACATGCCATAGCCAGCCTTCCCACGAATCTTTGGGACTATATCGTGGGATATTTGTCACCGAGTGATGCAGCGAGTCTTGCATTCTCAACCAAAACCCTTCTGAACCGAATTGGAAGAGATCCATGGCATGCTTTGAATCTACCAGAGAACCATCGGTATAAAATTGAATTTTTGGTCCACATGGACCGTGATCTTCCCAACCATCTTCTTTGTTTTCCTTGTGCAATTTATCATGTTCGCATAATACCGGGAGAAGAACGGTTGAAAGCTACACATATCATAAATCATCTTTTCGAATGTCCAAATGCTTTAACACAAGTCGCTCCAAAAACACGATTAACTGTTGGTCACACTCTTCCGTTTTCGTTTGTGCAGCTTGTATTGCGATCAAACCGTTACTCTCCAAACCACGGAATTCCAGTGGAGTCGATATGCAAACGCTGGAAAGACCCTCAGCTTGGGGCTCAAGGCACAGGAACTTGGTCACATCAAAGCCGATATTATATTGACAAAGGCCATCTTCTTTTACGTGTGATCAGTCAATGCTTCCCAGAGCCAGACCTTCCCATAAGTGCCCAACGAAACCTTTTGTATTCCCGCGAGGATTATTTTCCATATTTTTCGGTTTGCGCTCACTGGAGGGATGGCGACCTCATGGATATATGTAAATGCGCGTTGGGCCACATACCCAAGCGCAGAGAAGCGATCTCCTCACAACTGAAAAGCGGGCCGAACGCTATTTTCTCACTCGGAAACCAGAGGAGTCAGATGTCATCACAATGTTCTGTTTGTCAGCCCATGCGTCGATGCCCAAGATGTCCTACAGAGTACTTGGTTGAGCTTAAATTTGCCGAGGATAAAAGCGATCAAGTCAATAGATTCAAGCAGGCTATGACAGTGACGAGGTGGAGCGACTTGGGCAACGGAACTTCTCCATTGTCACCGGAATGGGCTGCGATGAATGGCGAATTTGAGGGCTATGATTCATTAGACACAGTCAAAGGGCGTGCAATTTCTGGAACTTTTGAATCACAATTTGGTGTTACACTTCCCGGGCAGAGAATATTATCGCTTAATCCAAGGAATGAAATCAAGGGAGAAGATGGTCATAATTGGTATTGAGCAAAGTTATAAGAATATTGTAAATACATCGTTACGCGTTCTCATATTACCCTAATTAGCATAATGCACATTAATTGTCGATAAGATTTGAAGACTGAGGAGTATGATATAACTTCTTCGTAGGGGCTCAATACGTTCCCTGTATAGGTATTGAAGTAATTATTTTTGGAAAGAATTTGGGTTAAATCTTGATATCATTTTACCTTGTTGATTTCTGCGAGTCTTATATTTTGTTCCTGTCAACCAATTATGTTTGAGGGACAAATGCACCAGGAATAAAATCCCTGCTCAGCTCCAGCTGCCTTATACCTCTGTAAAATGCTTTTAAGCGCCACTGTCAGCAGCTATCATTTGATCAAATATAAATAACTTCTTGCGCCTGTATAATTTTCCCTTGGAGAATAATAAACATCACTATGACACCAAATCTTTGTGAAACATGTCAAAAGTTCAATCTTCGCAAACTCTTCCTGGATTCCGCCGCACAAAACGCGACGTCGGCTAGGGGTGCTATAAGTGGATATCAAAACATCGACCTGCAGGTACGACCCGGCATACCGGAATTCTACAAACACCACAGCAGCACCGCTGCTTTAAAAGCTTCCTCGGAATTGGGATGTGAACTTTGTAGCTTGATATGGACAACCAAGCCAAAGAAAGAGCAAGATGTCACTGTTGATCGTTGGCTCGACGAGACTGGCCAAGGTCAGATTTTCGTTGGAACGGGAAGTTCTAGTGTCGCAAAACGTGAAAGCCCTTATATTGTGGTGTCCCAGAGACCTGCAAACAGTTCCCCGCGGATCCTATGTAATTTTGAAGTTTTTGCAGCTGCAGGTAGGCTTGATATGAGTTTAAAATTGTTGTTTTGCTTATTTGAAGTTTACTAAATTATTTGTATCAGACAGCATTGCACATCAGGAAAGTAATTTTATTGGAAGGCCAATATCTGCCCAATCAGATTCTGCTGACTGCTACGAGCTGGCTAAGCAATGGTTGAGGGTTTGCTCGAAAGATCATCACGATTGTGGCCCCATCAAAACTCGATGTCCTACACGCCTCATCAATGTAGGCTCTGCAGACTCTAATCCGTTTCTGGACGACAATCCCGATCGTGGTGACTGCGAATGGGTAGCACTCAGCTATTTGTGGGGTGGAAATGGTTACCTGAAGTTGGAAGAACCAACATATCAAAGCCTCAAGAGTGGTATTCCCGTGGAAGACTTTCCAGAAACTCTGCGAGATGCAGTTCTGACCACACGAGAAATTGGGTTAAAATACGTTTGGATCGATGCTTTGTGCATCCGTCAAGACAGCACAGATGATTGGAAGGCCGAGGCAGGGCGCATGAGAGATGTCTACGCAGGCGCGACACTCACAATTGTCGCTGCGAATTCCAATTCGACCAGCGCTGGAATACATTTTCCTCGCCCAGAAAATGTTTGCGCCACTGCACAATGTTCATTACCTTGGGATTCCGAAACAAGCGTCTCACTTCGCTTGGTGTCTCATATATCTCGTCAGGATGCGAAGTCAAGCTTGTGGTACACTCGTGGGTGGACATTCCAAGAAGGGTTGTTGTCACCACGAGTATTATCGTATGGCAAGGATCAGATGACATGGGAATGTGCATATCATATTGAGGATGAAAGTGGCCGTGTTGGGCTTTTGGACCAAAAATACGACAGCAAAGATCTTTTACACAAGTTACGAAAGAAACAAACAAATAGAATGAGTCGCGCCATGCAATCTTTGACTTTGCAAACCTACACATTTCTTTCCGAAGTTGACAACCAAAGAGCCAAATTAGGCTTTCCTCCTCAAAGAATTTCAGCAACTGGAGTCAATATACAAGAAAGCTGGGGCATGGATCCATATTTGAGATGGTCTGAAATGGTTGAACAATTCTCAATCAGGAATTTGACATATAAGTCAGATGTTTTACCTGCCCTCGCTGGTATTGCGCGGGAATTTTCGACGATTACCAAAGATACCTACCTTTCTGGGATGTGGAGATCCTACATACTTGCCAGTCTACTTTGGAGCAGGCAAGCATTGAGGAGATATACCAGAATATCCGGGACCAAAATTGACCTCGAATTCTATACACATATTGATTGGAAGAAACGTGAGACTTATTTAGCCCCTTCGTGGTCCTGGGCAAGTCTCAATGCTGGAAGAGCATCGTTGCATCCGTACCCATTCGCGGATGCTGCCGTACAACACTTAGCTGCCTTGGTCGACTTTCAACTTCGCCATGCAGGAACGGATATATTTGGTCCCCTTGAGCCAGGTAGCGCCTTAATCATGAAAGGAATTTTATTTCCAATACACAACTTGGCGAAAAATTACTGGAGATTTTCTGATCCCCCTGAGCCGCTTCCAAAATTTCGCGAGAGATTTGGTAAGGAGAGCCTTGAAAGTACTCATTCTGGGTCATGGCCTGCATTAGAAGAATACATCCAAGAATGGATAAACGACGCTGGTCACGCGAGTTTCGAATTCGAACAGCAACATATTCCACATCCAAACCAGAAATTCGGCGCATTCCTCCTTGCGCACATCGAAGGCATTGCAGATGCCATCGATCATTTCCCACTAGTCGGCAATCTAGCATTTCTTCTCGTCGAATCGACAGGAAATGCTGACAACGAGTACCGGAGAGTCGGTGTAATGAATATTAATAGATCTAACGCATATTCAAGTACCAGCGAAGCGATCAGGACACTTTCCGAGGCAAAAAAGGCGGAAAGAAGAGGCGAATATTCCTGGACAGTAGCACCTGTTTCTCCAATGAATAAGCTCATCACAAAGCTATGGCAAGAAAAGCCAAAGGAATTCCCAAACCGAACGACAATCCGTTTAGTGTGAAAAATGTTCTCCCCAGTTCTTCCCAAATCATCTTTTCCAGATCCCTTCTAGGTCGCCTAAAACCAAGTAAGCGAGTGCAATTGATAGTTTCCCAGGATATTAATTAATTGTGGCAATACTACGGCACGAGACTCTAGGATACGATGGATACCCCGAATAGATAAATCCAATCGGATGAAGACAATGAGACCCATAGTACTAGTTTCATCCAGGCTGCATTGGCTAGGGCCATAGACGTCAAAAAGTTAAATTCATTATTGATTCTTTAGGCTGTTCCCAACAACGTGTAGACAGAGTTTGTAATCTCAACCACAAAACGCCTCTGCAACGCAAATAAATCTTATTGGAATGTCTGGAAAATCACTATATCCTGTACGAAACGAAACATAACTGTAAATGTATTTCTCCTACCTCCAAAAATAGTCTACGCCTCGGTAGCCGTCGGTATGTTGGCGTTTTTGAGTCCCGTCTCGACTCCCGTTAAATGTCAAGTTAAGACCTTACATTTTCACCTATAGGTACCTACCTGGTAATTATTACATATACTCATTGAGGCCAGAATAATTGATCTCATTGGTCGAACTGTCAACTACCCCATTTTCAAGGATCCCCTTTCTGCCTCAACACCGATTAAGCGTTCGAAGTCTTATACTCCCTGGAAGCACAAATACTTTGTAAGAGTTTGATGAATTACTCTAGCACCACTGCAGCACCAGTGCACCACATCATCTAACGTCAATCGCATATGTCACTTGCCCTTGTAGACAAGACATACCTTACCGGCTCCAACATTTCTGGATTCCGTCCCTTTAATAATCGAAGCGTAACATTGTTCCTATTGGTCAATCGGTCCACAATCAGAGGGCCGTGCTTAATTTAAAACACCCCATCGTCTGGTCTTAAGGCTGACTATCAGACTAAACCGGAGGCAAATTGTACTCCCGTATATTACATGTTAAGCAGTTTACTGATCAAGCACCAGATGCGATGGCGACCGATACTCCCATTGGATACATCGTCCAATTCCAAGCCTCGGGCGAGAATCCAATCGACGGCAGCACAATCATCACTCCCTACAATAACTCTTTCCACATGAACTCCTCGAGCCAGATGACCGGTACCTCCGGACGACAGTCGAAGAAGCGACCCAACCTACCCAAGGTGCGATCCGGATGCTTAACTTGCAAGTAAGTCGATGCTTCGTCGACACTGTGGAGCTCGATGGCACTAATACATCAGCATTTGAAGACGAAGGCGAATCAAATGTGACGAGCGGAAACCCGAATGTAATCGCTGTCAGGTGTTTGGCGTGGTATGTGAAGGATATGGAGTTCGCATCTCCATAAATCGGCGCAAACCAGAACCAAAACCACTCCTTCCTCGCACTGATGAGGTATCGCCACTATCATCATCGCCTCAATCATCACATTCAATACAGTTATCGCCGAAATCCTCACCGTCGATGAGATTGCCCTTCCGGGATGAAACTGAAGAACGATATTTTCGAACCTATCTAACCAAGACAAGCATCTCCGTGACTTGGAGCCGAAGCCGCGTCTTTTCTACGTCGTTATGGGATCGTATTATTATGCAAGCTGCACACGACGAATCTTATCTCCGTGAGATGCTAATTGCGATTGGTTCGTTTACTGAATCCAAGGATGTCCAATTGAGGGGGTACGTGGATGAAGCAGCGCAAATGCGAGTTTTTGCTGTAAAGAGATACGGGCTTGCCCTTCGTTCAATGAGTGTTGGACTTTCGAAGCTCGAAAGTAGCGAAGGCCCGAGGAAGGCTTTGATTTGCTGTCTTTTAGTATGTTGTTTTGAGTGGCTGTTGGGAAATAACTTTACTGCTCTGGTACATGCTGGTAGCGGTATTAGAGTACTGCGTCAATGGTTGAGAAATTATAGAGGTAAGAATTACAAAGCTGGTATCTGCTCTCCTGATTCCGGGGTGATCGAGGATGAATTAGTCCAAGCCTTTCTAAGGCTCGACAAACAGGTTGCGACATTTGGGGATCCTGGAACAACAAGTGAAGAACATAGGGAGATAATACATGAGTCAATTGAAACAGTTCAGAACATGCCTGGGATTTTCTCGGACATGCACGAAGCCCGCTTATACCTCGAGCTGATCGAGAGACGATCAACACATTTTGCATATTTAGCAGCTGCACATTATGCCTCTAAGAACACCAATTCTTCTACGTCGGTTGTCACGAAACGTAGCCTTAAACAGGGATATAGTGCACCTGAAAATTTAGATATGGAAGCCCTTAAATACGAAATGTCTCAGTCGCTCATTAGATGGAAATCAGCATTTGATCTATTCTGTTCCAACATTCCACCCTCGGAAACCGATCGAATCACGGAAGCAAACCTACTAATGGCTCAAAGCGCAGCTATGGAGGTAATTATGACTATTGCCCCAGGCAATACTAAAGAAAATCACGAGAGAGCTCTCCCCGGGTATCGAACCATATTAGCCATCACCGAGAAGATTCTGGAGGGAACGAAAGATCAGCGACAAGTTGGAAATTTCAAATTCGAACAAGGCGTTATAATGCCGTTACATATTGCCGGAAAATGGTGCCATGATCGCACAATTCGCAGAAGGGCGATAGATCTTCTAAGACTGTATAAAAGCAGTGACGGGGAATCGATCAGGGAAGGGGTATGGGATAGCGAAACTTTCGCGGAGTGGGATGAGTGTTTCTTAGAAGGAAGGGATGGCTCGGAGTGGGGAGATGGCTCGGAAAGAATTGGTGATGGACATATGCGAAATGCGGCGAAGGATAAAAATCAAATCTTTAGATTGAGTAGGCAGGCAAATTCCGACAGAAGCTCCAGTAGTGGTAGTCCTAGGAGTGACCAGGGCCGGGGAGTAAGTGATAGTCCTAGGAGTGAGCAAGAACAAGCTATGGCGGGACGTTTTGTAGAATTGGGAAATGTGGAGGGTTGGGTGGATGAATTGCCTGTTAGGTCATCCCCTTGAGCTCGAGCTTGAGCTTGATTGGGATGATATCTATGTATTTTAATATTGCAATTGCATATTTATTGTAAATATATGTTTTGTAGGCGGAAGTGCCAATAAGTACAATTAGGAAAACAGAGATATAGGCTCATTCTGTGGGAGTGCTTTATTGGGCGCTACGCATATGGATCTGGTATCTACTAGGTATCTACGTATGAAAGCCCAAACCTTAAGGAGAACTGTAACTCCTACTCCGCAAAAATTGGGGAATATAACACTATTCCTCTCATATGGCTCAACCAAAACTTACATTCATTTCTTTCTCTCCCTACTCAATAGACATCACCACCCCAACACAAAAGACACTACCATCCCTGATACTAGACATCCAAGCTGGCAATTTTTCGACAAGCAATCAAGATTCATATGACTTTTATATTGAGCTTTAAAAATAAAATTTCAGGGAAGCTATATTTGACGATACAACAAATGTCTTTTTTTTTTTTTTTTTTTGAAAAAGATCGCTCAAGGATTGATATTATATGGAGATTCTCTCTTACTTATTGCGCTCGCGATAAGGGGCTTGTAAGAGACAGCTGGTGCTCAAAATGAAGATTGTGATGTGAAGTATATTTATAGGATTGACTGCCCGTGACTATTCGAAAACTAGCATCGTGGGAGATACTACTTACTTACGCATATGTCAGGCTTGGAGTTTTGTCATGGTTCACTTGGTCGATTATGTGTTTATAGTAGCTCAAGCCTCAAAGCTAGGGGTACAGAAATAAAAATTCGTTTGGTTGGAATGATATGTACGTATGGTGTCTGGACCGCTTTGGGCGATATTTTAAAGATATAGCTTGTTATATTGCGTCCACAGAAGCCAAAAGTCATATCCTAGTATTGGCGAATGATTTCGATAGAGTCGCTCAGTGGCATCTAGAATCTCTCATTCCCCGGGGCGCAGGTAATCTGTTAAAACGTTCGCACTCTCATAATAACTATATGCTTGCTTACCTTCAAGGATCAATTCCTTCGATGAGAGCATTGACGTTCGCTGGGACCCACATGATCATCTAGATGCGGAAGGTTACTGTACTGTGTGGACTTACTTTCGGCATGGACTGAAAAAAATATTTATTCTTATGCTGAGAGGAAGGGAAGATAGTATCAAATCTTTCTTTGATGCTAGTCGGATATAGATATCATCCTCTTCTGGCAGCACTCACTTTCATGCGCGGACCGTGGAGAACCGGGACCTACGGTTGGCGCGATGGATACTGGTATTTTTGTAGAATACAACGATAGTTTGAATGAGGTGTATCATGGTCACTGTTTGTGGAAAATATGGCTGCACCTGATGCATACCTATTTTCTAAAAGGAAAAGTTCATTCTTCAAAGGAAGAATAGTACAAACGTGAAGTTCACGGTGTTGCTTTCCAGACTATGGAAATCATGCTTCGGCATAGAGTCAACCTTGAAGTACACTGTAGCAAGGAACTTGAGGTATAGAAACAAAATTTTCCTAACGATTTCATTCGTTCTGGTTTTTTTCATCGCAGAAGTGCCGTTCCATAGCGTACAGTTCGATAAGTCTAGACTCATTGATAGCGATGATAACCGGGAAGAACCTTGAGAGGCACAATATTCCTTGGATCGCATCATCAAGGATATTCTCGACAAGAACAGTCTAGATTTGTCTGTGAAGTTATTAAATCACATTGCCTGGAAAAGAGCTGAGATATCAGAGGCTAAAAAGTAAGCTCGAAATCAAGCGTCTGGCTCATTTAGTGGTGAAAGGGGACCAACGAAAGCAAAAGCAGAGAAATAAGAAACTCAAGGGTACGCGTGGGAGTATCGTTAAGGAGGTAGATGGTGATTCTTTGTAGGGGATGGCTGGATGGAGATGAGGGTTCTATTCAAATTTGAGACAGTCTAGTATTCGTCCGAGGAGAACGGGGAAGTGGATTTTAATTGCTTATTCAAGGGGAGCTTGACACTGAAGTCATGATCCAAAGTATTTTCTACTTTTTATAGGAATGATCCAAGGCACTGTTACTTCTATGACTCAACTGTTTCTCATCAGAGATTCTCAACGCATCCTCAACGCCAACTCAGCAAGCTCGCTTGCCTTAATCCACATCTTCATAACATTCCGTCACCCCCTGCTATTTGTCACGATGAATCAACCGCCTACTACACAGGAACTCTAGTTTATTTTCCAGAAGAATTATGCTTCCTCATCGCCCCCTAAACTAGAATATACATAGCAGTTTTATGAGCAAATCTCTGTTCTCGATTTATTTTCCGCCGCGGGCAATCGAGATTAAAATTTCGCTATGGCCAATACATCAATGATATCATGGGAAGTGGGAGAAGAGATACCGAAAATCCACGGCTTTTTCTCTCAGCTATTCGGTGGAGCAGTGGGAAATGAGGTAGAGCTAGGATATATTGTGGATATAGGAGGCAGATTGTCCTAGAAATAGGACGAGTATTGAACACAAGTGTCGCTCGATATGGTCCGCGTGCCTAAATTGAGTACCGCTATTGGAGTATCAAATATCTGGTCTCAGTAATGATAAGTTTGGTACATACAAAGAAAGATCAATGTCGCTGGCGGGGACATGGCTTTTATGGAAGATTTAGTACGCGTTGGCGATTGATGTGTGAGGTTAAACTTCACAACACCATAATCTGGCGGATAAGGTGAATAGTGTGATGGAGTGTTACTCTGGAGAGCACAAAAGGAAAGGTGTAGGAATATATGTCAATAGATTTTGGATTTGGATTGCTTTGGATGAGGTTATGAGGGTGGGGCATGGTGCTGGTTGAGGTATGAGAAGGTTGAGATGGTAAATGAGGGGCGACGTGAAAGTAACGAGAAACTTCGAGGAACTGTTTCGAGTTGAGCACTAGATTTTTTGGTGAAACGTAAAGGATAACCAGCTCCGGAGAAGTGTTCGAGGTTGACTCAATACAGCTATTGCTCGCGAAGTAGAAGGTTGCCGTAATAGACAGAGGCGTGGGATTTGGTAATTCTTTTGGGCTTACAAGCCTAGAGATGATAGGTTAGAAGCTTTTTTTTTTCCACTACGGATCCGATCGTAAGGGACTTCATGGGACCATATGACATAGAGTTTTTGGGCTATAGCGAGACAATTCACCATGTCAGTCTCTCAATCATCACTCGAAGCACCGAGATTTCATAGATGTTTCGTTTAGATCTGTGCTCCTTAGATCTAGAGGAAATGGAGTGCCCAAATCATGTGCTGATCTACACGTGACACCAGATTCCCAGCATGCTTGGGCGATTGGATTTAGTTTATGGTGAGCTTTGCCATCGTATGATGCTTGCATGTGGATTGAACAAGAAACTTACGATCATAATCGTTTTTCCAGCTACAAGTAACGGGTAAGTAACTTAGGTCCAATTGTTAGAAGATGTAAAACATCTAAGGTTATTATTAATAAGCTTTCATAGTTACGACACCCCGTCACGCCAAGTAAATAATCTATTCACGATCTAGAATGGCATCAGCAACCCCGAGCCTTCGCAATATCAAACCTGACGCCCTCTATACATCAAACTTATACGTCTTCATCTCCTCGAAATACATCAAGATCCCCTGTGGAAATCAATGAGAGGGGTTTTTGTTCTATTCGCATCGTTCTAAGAGGCATAGCAATATGTTAGTGTGAAAATTCCTCATTCTTCACAGAAAGATTTTCAAAGATTGTAGGCAAGGGCGTATACTGCTGAAATCTAATAGCTAGACGGACCCCATTTGGATGCTTTTGGCCTTTTCACGGGGTAATTGTCCTGGCTACGTGATTATCAGACATCGATCTGTGCAATGCAGACGAGGACCACTCTTCCCACCAAAAGGTTATTTGCCATGTGCTCACTTCAAGCTATAGTAATGGGCCACATAGCATTACACCGATCACTTCACTAATGTTGACAAGAACTTTCTATCATTCTAGCTGAACACAAAACTGCAAATGGGCATTGTAAGCAAGCCCATATCCTGGCGGCTGCAGCCTGTCACTTCGGTCACTTTCCCATGTTTTGGGCTCAAATCATCCTTATCTTGGAGCCCAAAGTAGGTTATGGAAATCGAGAACTATTCTTGCTAAGGTAGCTCTCACATAAATTGCACTTAACGGCTCGAAGTCGAGTTCTGAGGAAAAACAAGCGTCCGGAGTAACTACCACATACAGGATAGCACTCCTAAATTTTCTCTGTCAACCTATCTGTAGCATAAATTCGGGATGTTTTGATACTGCATAGAGATTATAAGATCTCTTACACGACTAATGAATCTCAGCCGCATCTTTGCCATCAACTGTGTCGCAATGATACATACATATATATGGTTCGGGATTTCCTTCCTCCTGTTTGAAGCCGGGTCGGTTGTGTCTGTTTTTATGGGGAGATGAGCGCGGGAAGAAAGTTCCACAAAATATTAGAATACCTGAAGGAATAGTAGGAAAATAGGCCAGAAACTCATAATAGGCCGTAATCCATAATGAGTCCTTGTGGTAAGATTACAAGGCAATGCTATGGGTTTTTAATTTCATAACATAACATTAACAATCAATACTCTTATCATAAGAATTACAATTCACATCATAATATATCATTCCAACTCTACAAAGCGTAAATATTCTTTCACAGATGAATTTTATTATTCTAGGATCTTCTATTTTTTTCCACTTTGAAACTCCGATACTAGAAGCTGTCTATATATATGTGTGTGTGTATATGAACTACTTTACCTTATGGAGATGGGGGACTTACCTGAATACACTATCTTACCTTATTCCTTGCTTCATTGAAGTTTTACCTTGTGAGTATTCCATGCTTTTCTCCTAACATATCCTCCCCTCTTCAATCTTTCCATCTCCCTCTCCCTCCCCCTCACACCCTCTCACCCAACCCCACCTCCTCCCACGACCCCTCCCCTCTCCCCCCTCTCGCACTTATCCACCTCTCCCTCTCCCTCCCCAACACCTCCTTCTCCTCCCTCAACCTCCTAATCTCTTTCTCCCTCTCTTCCCTTTCCCTCCTTTCTTCACTCTCCTTCCGTACCCTCTCTTTCTTCTCCTTTCTCTCCCTTCTCCTCCTTAATCCCGGTCGTACACAACATCTATATATCATATACATCATAACTAGTATAATGATTGTAATCGTGATGATTGTGATGAGGGATGAAGAACCGGAGGTGTTGGTGAAGAACCCTGGGGTTGGGCTGGGGGTAGCGGTGGAGGTTGCGGTGGATTTGGTGATAGAGGTGGATGTGGATGTGGAAGAGGGTTTTGGATCGGTGAGTTTAGAGATTTTTGTGAAGTTTTCTTGCGGTTTAATGGTGGAGGAGGAGGGAGTGGTGCTTGAGGCGAGGGCTTTTAAGTGCGGGGTTGGGAGGAGATGTGT